ACTCACAGACACACCCCAAATGAAAGAATAGACCATTCCAAGCTTTTACTTGTTGTTAAACAAATATTTAAACAACTCTATTTATTCAGAGTAATATAAATATACATTGAAATTGTTTTAAAGGAAAAACTACAAACACAAATATTTGACTTCTTCATCACATCAAAGACTTCAGGAACGTTTATTTATAGTGTTATCATGATTATTACTATCTTTTTTTTTTACAATGAAACAATCAGATTAGTAAAGCGTTATTTATTGTCTCGAATCACATGCGACTAATGTGGACATTTTTCTATTGGGAGTAGTATATACTAAACTAAAATACGTAAAAATGACAAAAACACCGAAAGGTATATATATCTGTAGGTACAGACAAATGTATATGTATATATTGAACGCACCTCACGAAGAAATAGTTGAAACGTGTTTGGCGTTACAGTAGCGCTGCAAGTCACAGCATCATCCTGTTGGTTGAGTAGGGGAGAGAAATAGGGGTAGCAAAACTTGTTTGGTGAGGATCGCAGTGTTCTGTATACAACACAGTGATTGCGTGTAGAGGTTTGGGGCCATCTTAATTTGTTGCTGCTGTGTCACGTGTCATTCTGTAGTGCAAGGCTATTTTGAAGCGCAAGACGGAGGTGTAAGTTGAATCATTTCGGAGTTAAGAGCTGTGAATAATTCTGAAAGGTACGTAATTTGAAAGTTCACTGACATGGCCCGTATGATAGACACCACACTTGAAGGGAAGAAATATAACTTTTCACCTTAGTAACGGAATTGTTGCTACTGCGCATGCTCCATCTTCTCAAAAGGGACTGAACTCAATTTTGAAAAAAAGCTGCAGTTGTACTATATTTGCTCTGTATTCTTTCATAGAATTGGGCGTTGTGAAGCTTAATGATTTCGATTTAATGCAATCTTACAAATATATGTGCAAAGTACGCTTAATGTTTGATACAACAAACGTTTTAAATCGACCACCTATATTTACTTAAGCCTTGTTGAAGTTGTTGCCGTGACCTAAACGTGTATTAGTCTACTAAAAGTTTAATTTACGACCTTTTAATTTTATTAAATTTATAAAAAAAGGTTTACTTATAACCTTATGAGTTGTTATTGAAAACTTTGGTAATACGTTTCATTTTCGTATTTAAGCACATGGCTAGGAATCAATCGGATAGTTTAAAATTAAATGAAATATTCTCATAACTCCTTTACGTTTTTTATTGCTTAGTTAGAAGACATCAATAACATTTAGCCATATTAAATTTTTTTAAAAGTACATAAAAGATGGATTGGGAGCTTTATTTATAGGATTAAGGAAATTATTTTAATGTAAATATCTTTAATTTTTGGCATGCAGCTATTACATATTCCATTCTTTTATATAAATATATAGACATACTATTGTAAAAAAATTTTTTTAGATTTCTGTGGCAGTTATTCTTCATAATCTGGAAAACTTCGTTTTAAATTATGTGCTAACTTATTTTGTGGAGCCCCTCCGGTAGCTCAGAATTGAGTCCGAAGACTCGTAACACTAAAAATCAGGTTTCTATATCCGCGGTTGGTTGGCCAGCACAGATAATCCTCTGTGTAGTATTGTTCTCACTAAGAATCAAACAAACACTGAGGAAGGAATCGTTAGAAAGCGCCATGTTATATTTTATAAGGTATTTATATTTTAGCCGATATAATTTACGTGTGATACAATATCAAGTTGTGCTCTGAGAATGCCTAAATCTGCTGTGAAACGCTGTATTTTTGTTGTATTCACCGACTCTGTGTTTCACATTTTGCCTTCACTTAAGGTTGCTATTCAAGTTTGTATTGTTGCATATGCTTTTCGATCACCATTTTTATATTATTTTACTTTCAACATTTCTGTCTAGTAGACGTATGAAAGCAGTATTCGACAAACCTTTTTTTCCACTCTTGTTTTCATATCAACATTCCATCCATTAAGTCCTCGAATTTTACGTTATGCGAAGATGAACTATATATACCACAATTTTTTATTCTTAAAGTGGTAAACGAACTGACGAGAACAGCCAGTCTGCATGTTTGGTCTTTAATCAGATGTAGATTTTATTGGAGTCTCGTGAAAATAATAGTTCTCTCATAGGGTTTTTGAAGCATATTTGAAGACATTTTTGGTGTACAGTGTGTAAAATATGTGATATTCGTGGACGATTAATGATGTAGTTCCATACCAAGTTAATAATACATAACTCTAGCTGTTTCCAACAGATGTTGTTCTGGGGAACTTTTTATTTTATATTTCGAGCGCAGTTTATTAAATTTTTTTTTTAGAGTTATGATAGAATAAGTTACTTTAGATAAACGTTAAACTAACACTCTTATCTTTAGGCCTACTTATAGTTTGCTTTGAAAAGGGCGGAGTAACAATGTCATTTATGTTTATTCAGAGACACTTGTAATTAATGTGGTCTCTAAGCCACGAATATGTATGTACTCTACTCGTGAAGTGCTCTGAATTGCTCGTGAATCACCAAGCATCACTTACACACGCTATTGCTAGAAGTATTAAAATGACTTCTGTTCCTATTAATAATAACTTCCGACCAAAGAAAGTCACCTTCTTAAAGCGAAACTAAAAATTAACTTTGTATTTAGTATAACTAATTAAATATACTTCTCGTATGTTCTAAGTTATAAAGATTAGTATGCATTGGTTTCATTAGTTGGGTACCCTCACTGTAAACGATATTTTCAATCGTAAACCCGATAACAATCTCTCGAGGTTCAGCCAGCTTAGGAGATTTTAGGTTATTCTTAAATACATATTTTAATATAACGATGCAAAATAGTTTTTGTTATAAACGTATAATAATTAAAATTAGAAGTAATGTAACTAGATATGCCAAACATTCCAACCCACACCATCAATAACGAAACAATGGTGTTTACCTTTGTTACGGAAGACACAAACAATTGCTGTTAGTTTCAGGTAAGTACTGTCGTAGATTTAATGTTCTTTGAAAAACGTAGCATTTCTATAACCGTGTACGAGAATAACTTTTCACCAAACTCTCTACAAACATGTGACTAATGAAGCCCATTAAACAGCTCTGATAGTGTAATTTTAGAGTAGAGTGGCAGCTGATACAAATTACTACAACACATGCTACTACTTAAATGTTGAGTAAGTAACAGGACTTTACCAAGAGTACAGCCGAAAACTAATGATTATGTATTACGAGAAATTAAATGAATGCCTGAATAGTATGATAAATAGCTAGAATATTGGTGCTTTAAACGAAATATAACAAAGTTAAATGTAAGAAAAAGATGTTAAATACACTATGGAGCAAGAAACAGGAAGTAATAAATAAAGTTCAATAAATCTTTTGTAAAAACCGAAAAGTAAACTCGATAAGCCTCAAGAAAGTTCACTAATACTAATATGAATTACAAATAAAAGTTACAGCAATCGTAAATATGGCAAATAAAATAATCAGCAAAACTAGTGTAACTTAAATAATGACGTAATGTTATACTATATATATATATATATAGAACTATTATATAGCTAGTATTAACTATACAAAGTAAGAGCTTATACTAATGGGCAGTAAAACCAATGGTGGTCAATACACTAAAGTGGTTCACTATTACTTTAGACAATTTCCGAAAGGATTAAAATGTACACTTGAAGGTTTTGAAAAGGTCATGATAGTATGAAATATTTTCAGTAGCAAGATTATTGTTAAATTTCTGACAGAATTGAATGAAAGTCAGGAGGGGTTTTCTGTGACTTTTTGTTTATTCAAGTCAGTGTGTTGGAAGGAACTCGTCCATGTACACATGTCCACAACCATGCAAGATGGCTGTGCCCATAGGATGCTGCTCTCAAGTGGAGGTGAACCCTGTAGCACAGCGGTATGTCTGCGGACGTAAAATGCTAGAAACCGGATTTCGATACCCGTGGTGGGCAGAGCACAGATAGCCCATTGTGTAGCTTTGTGCTTAACTACAAACAATCAAGTGGAGGGATGTGACATTTTCCAATAATGCTACACCCAGTGCCTTCTGGGGGTTGCAATTTGAACGGATACAACATATGGCTGCTTCATGAGATGGATGTGGTGGTATCAAAAATGGGTACTCCCAGCGCCATATTTTCCAATATGACTGCGACCACTTGGGACGACCATCTTGCATGTGACAGCACAAGGTATGGTGATAGTGGTGGATATGCACATCAGAGGTCAATGGTCAAAGTAATGTCAAGGCCAGAGGTCATACAGGCCTAATCTCTGCCATGTACTATATATGGTGAAATCCCACTAGCTGTTTATTTATTTTTTAATTAGTATACTGTGGAGAAAGATCCGTGTCTATATACGGCTTGCATAATATTTTTATATCTCGGGCTGCATAGTGCTTGCAAAACAGAGGCATCGCTATTATTTTTGATTCATATTAATTGGGCGTTTTATATATGCAACCAACTTTTTCTAGAATTGATGTTGCATAATATGTTTTATTTATTTTGCTATGATAAGTAAATAAATCCTAATTATTTAAACGACATTAAACTAATTGTGACATTTAAAAACGAAGAAAGTACTAATTTTTATGTAGTACTAAACTATCCGTTTATTCAGTTTTATTTGTGAGTTTACGGTATGATATTTGCTATGACTGTTGTGACCTGTTATAATAAGTAAGTGGTAAACTAAGGCTAATACGGTGCGAACTGGTTATATAAAATGCGTATTCATTGTAATACTTTTCATGTTCCTTAACAGAAAACGTTTCTCATGTATGGAGAACCCTCTTTTTTTATTAATACAACTTTATGTTCTTTCTTTACTTTTAAATATATATGATTTAATTTTGCAGCACTAAGTAATCTGCGAAACTCAGTTTTTTCTTGAAACACGTTTTTGATAGCAACCTAATGTTTTTTATAGAGTTATAGTTACCTTAGGCTACTGAATGATTCTAGTTTGTTTTCAAAGATCTACGTACTGTACTTAGATATCCTTTGAAAGTCCCATGTCTCTTTATTAATACTAGGAAAACTTTGACGAATGCCATGGGTTTGTTTTTTTCCAGAATTTGTGCAAACAGCTTTAATTTTCAAATGATAGGTTAGAGGAAAGGCAGCTAATCAACAAAACCCACCGCCAATTTTTGGACTACTCTTGTCAGACCTAATAGTGGGATTTGACTGTCGCAACCATAACCCTAAAGTGCGAAGTGCATATTAACGGCAATGGGGCACGAACCCCGGATAAATAGTCCAAGCATGCTAACTACTAGGCCACGTAGCCCGACTTTCACGGGATTGTACGTCTGAGAAAACTCGCTTGTTTAGAGTCATAAATTCAATAATTTAACGATAATATATTGATAATAATACATCTCATAGTCTTTTAATAATTGAAGAAATATAATTCTTCTCATTAAAATGCTTCAAGAAATTGCTCAACATTTAAACTGTTGGCATGGTTATGAGATAGCTTCGTTTCGCTGTTCTTTTTGTGGTGTCATTATCTTAAATTGTCAGCGATACAATTACACTTCTAATTCACTTCAATTTCTTTCTTTCTTTTTTTCAGATATGCATTGCTAATCATAATGGCCAGACTATTACTTTCCACCAGATCTTTACGACGTCTACTGTATCTTGTTGTCATCTGGATATGTCTGTGTTACTTGGTGTTCCATTTCACCCGTCCTTTGAATGCCGTATCGCTACTAGCTGATCACGTGCAGCGCGGCCTTTTAGAGAAGTCCGTATCAAAACAGCTGGTAAACAATAATATTGCATTCCAATTTTCAAAAGAAAACCCACAAGTTGACACATCACCTAGTCTAGGAGAAAAAGAATTCCTTTATTTTCTGTCCAATAATTCGAACTTACCTCTAGCCTATTGGGCTGCCAATAAAAATAAACAGATAGGAGATAAAACTTGTGTGAAATTTCCTAGTCTGTATGACTTAGAGTTTAACAATATTTATTGGCAAAGTTTTCATAGCTCCAATGGAACCTTTTATCTTTACGGAGCTTATTATGACGATAGATGGCGCGGGGGTAGCTTACCAAGTGTTAGAATTTTGGGAATGGTTGATAGACTAAAGCCTCATCCCACAATCTGTCAACTGTGGTTTGACAAACTAAAGTCGCCACTTTTCTCCCCCGTGACTTATACTTACGCTTGGCATACGAAGTGGGGAAACTACAAAAATAACATTTTACAACCATACGTCATATCCTGTAAGATTCCCAAGGAATCAAAAGGTCAAGTACCAGCCAGCGTTTCGTTAGTAGAACGGAATTGTCAGAAACCCTCTTGCAATTTGAGAGTGGTTAACAACAGGCCGGTTCGGAAGCAAGACTTTGCAGTGTGTGTAAAAGGTCTTGATTTTCTCCAGAATGATCTCAGTGTACGGCTGGTGGAGTGGTTAGAGTTGCTGCGAGCTGTTGGAGCTAAGAAAGTTTTTTTGTATGAGCTCGAAATTCACCCAAACATCTCCAAAGTTCTTCACTATTATCATAATCAAGGATTTGTTCAACTAACCCCTATAACCCTCCCAGGAAACCAGCCCAACCTGCCTGGTTTTCGTCACCTTTATCTAAAATCTAAGCTGACCAACAAGCGCCAGAATGAACTAATACCATACAACGACTGTTTATATAGGAATCTATACAGCTACGAGTATTTAGTTTTATTAGATATCGATGAGTTTATTCTTCCAGTGAAACACGACACCTGGGGTGAGCTAATGAAAGTTGTTGTATCTAAAGCTCTTCAGGAGAAAAATTACACCCGCGCTAGCTATAACGTAAGAAACGTTTACTTTCTGGACGACTTGAAAGATGGAGAAGAACTTCAACACGAAACCCATGAAAAAGGAATTCCTTCTTATCTTCACATGCTTCAACATGTTTATCGTTCAAAGAACTTTACGAAGGCTGGCTCCTATGTTAAATGCTTCCACAACACCGAACGAGCAGTTTCCTTACATAACCATTTTCCTCTGAACTGTTTTGGAACATGTACAACATATTCCATCAGCACCGATTTAGCTCATCTTCAACATTACCGGAAGGACTGCGTAGGAACTCTCAAAAACAGCTGTAAAAGTGACTTTAAGGTGTACACGACACGTGACACTGCCATCTGGAAGTACAAGGATACCGTCATACGGCAGAGCACGTTAGTTCTGAAGAAATTAGGATTTTTTCCTTAAAAGAGTTTGGACAAAAAACAGACAGTTTCTTGAAATGGAATGTTAGGTATCCAACAAATTTACCTTGATGGCTGGTTGGTCAGTTGCACTTGAGAATGTGTTGTTTCAAAAGCTTTTTATTTGGGGTGGGGTGGAGGGGGGAGTCGACTTTTGAACAATAATAGATGTGATGTATTATATATATATATATATATATAGTATTGTAACATAAATTCTTGGGTTAAAAGTACTTTGGATCATTTCAACATAAAAATTAGAAATGCCACTTTTTTACTATTAAACTACATATATAATTATAGCTTTGTATTTGATCAACATTTACAAGATGTAACAGTCCCATATAGGCTAAAAAGTTACTCGATAATGCTGGAGTATAAAAAATTCCATTAGACTTGTCTAACAATAAGTTAGACTTTTCCTCATTAAAGACTGATATTTAATTCATTTCACAATCTTTTAATAGTAAGTTCATGACAAAATTGTGCTTTATAAACTTCACATTATGTTTTGATCATCCCACGTGTCACCCTAACGTTGTTCCCGGAACTTTTCAAAGACGATCGATGTTCTGTAAATACTAATTTGCACATAGCAGCCAATCAATTTGTAAAACGTTAAGATGTTATCCACACTTTACAGGTATTTATATAAAACGTAGTTTTTATATTGAATTTTATAAATTTGTAGTTACTTATAACCTTAAGATAATATCGAATACACAACTGAAGTTGCACTTTAGATAGATGAACAATTACATAATTTTTTTCTATTGTGGCTTGATGGTTAGGGCACTCAAATCGCAATCTGCGGATCATGTGCTAGAGTCCCGTCACCGACAATGTTCGCTTTTTCAGCCGTGGGGGTATTATAATGTGACGATCAATCCTACTTTTCGTTGATGAAAGAGTAGCCCAAGAGTTGGCAGTGAGTGGTGTTAATTAGCTGCCTTTCCTCTATTCTGCCCCCCCCCCAGTGGCCCAGCGGCGGGTCTGCGGACTTACAACGCTAGAATCCGAGTTTCGATACCCGTGGTGGGCAGAGCACAGATAGCCCATTGTTTACCTTTGTGCTTAATTGCAAACAAACAATCCTCTATTCTGTTACTACTAAATTAGGGACAGCTAGCACAGATAGCCTCGAGCTGCTTTGCGCGATATTCAACAAAACAGCGAAACAAAATCCTCTGTTACATGTTTTCATGTAGATATACTTGTGCCATTCAATTAGACATACAGAATATTCCAGAATAATCGAAGAGAGTTAGAGAAGACCGTGTTATTTAATCAACTTCAAACCGTCTGAAAGTTAGATTTTTAGAATACTTTCACGAATTATTAACATTATAAGCCACGCGACCATTTCAGTAAGATTTGTTTTGTAATTTATTGACACATGATGTTTTGTGCTTTGCTGTGATATATTTTTGCCAAAATAAAAAAGTTTATGTTCCAATTATGTGTTTTATTGAATAACCTCATTGGAACAACTGAATGTAAATCATTATTAGACAATGATATTAAAAAAAAAATGTCCTGCGAACTTCAGTATATTAGGACAAAATTTTCTTTGTGGATTCATGTGCTTAATAAATATACTTAGTATTCCGAAAATTGTTTAATATCGAAGTCCAGTTCAATCTACACTTTGATCAACGTGTGTTATTGGGTTATACTACTAGTACTACTATCAATATTACACTCATCATCAGTAACCATGAAGCAAAGAGAGATAAGCAGGACCTATATCACATCCAGTTTTTATTATGCTTGATTCACGTGGTTGTAGTATGAATAACTTCTGATCAAAGCAAACTACCTACATAGATTAAAATTAACTCTATAATTAATGCAGCTAATTTAATATTCCGTTCTATCTAGGTGTTTATAAAGGTCTGAAACAAAAACGTAGAATGTATTGATTCATCAGTTGGATACCACCATTGTTAGTAATGTTTTCGATACTTCACATTTTCTTCGCTGTATCTGTCACTTTCTAAAATTATAATAAGTTAAACTGTATTGTGAAAGATAATTTCTTTGATTCCATAGTCAAGCATTAAAAGTTAAACAAAAACTATTGTTGGTGACCATACGATCTTGATTCCTTGTATTTTTGATGGCTATATTAAATCAAACGTACTTAACTGTAATGCGTACAATAGTATTTAACTGGCAGATTTGCAGTATCTGCTGAAGTGATAGTGTTACAGTCAGTATGTTTAAAGTAATTAATATACTGATTGTAACACTATCACTTCATCATCAATATCCAAACACACTGACTGTAACACTATAACTTCATCAACCATATCCGATTACAATGCATATTAAACAATATACTGATTGTAACACTATCACTTCATCATCAATATCCAACGATATCCGTTTACTATAAACATACTGACTGTAACACTATCAATTCGTCAACAATATCCGTTTACTATAAATATACTGACTGTAACACTATCACTTCATCAACATCATCCGTTTACTACAAACATCCTGACTGTAACACTATCACTTCACCAACAATATCCGTTTATTATAAACATGCTGACTGTAACACTATCAATTCATCAACAATATCCGTTTACTATAAATATACTGACTGTAACAATATCACTTCATCAACAATATCCGTTTATTATAAATGTTTTTTTTGTTTGTGTGTGTTTTGTTCTTCTTACAGGAAAGACACATTGGGCTATCTGCTGCGTCCACCGAGTGAAATCGAAACCCTGATTTTAGCGTTTTAAATCTGTAAACTTACTGCTGTTCCAGTGGGGGATATACTTCGTTGAAGTGATAGTGTTACAGTCAGTATGTTTATAGTAAATGGATGATGTTGATGAAGTGATAGTGTAACAGTCAGTATGTTTATAGTAAACTGATATTGTTGATGAAGTGATAGTGTAACAGTCAGTATGTTTATAGTAAACGAGTATTGTTGATGAATTGATAGTGTTACAATCAGTATATTTATAGTAACCGGATATTGTTGATGAATTGATAGTGTTACAGTCAGTATGTTTATAATAAACGGATATTGTTGGTGAAATGATAGTGTTACAGTCAGCATTTTTATAGTAAACGGATATTGTTGGTGAAGTGATAGTGTTACAGTCAGGATGTTTATAGTAATCGGATATTGTTGATGAAGTGATAGTATTACAGTCTGTGTGTTTATAGTAAACGGATATTGTTGATGAATTGATAG